CACCGTCTTTGTGCCAAAGCATTGCAGCCTCATTTTGGTCATAGTCCTTGATCTCTGGAGAACACAGCTGCACCATGAGAATATCCAAAAGTGTTTCAGGGCTAGGGTTGTCACGGTAACCGGTGTAGCCGTAAACCCCGGTAAAAAAGTTGACAATAATAATAACCGTCTTGTTTAAAAAAAAAAAAATTATCTCTGTGGATTACCATGGCTGCGGTGTAGGCGCGGTGACCCTTACCAGCCACCGTATCATCTGCTGGAAGTTGCCGGCGGCACATGCGCACGTTGTTGTTTACGACCAAAACTTTCTTTAAGCTAAAGCTGAAATAATGGCAGGAGGAGACGGCAGCACTTGGGACATTTATTATCCCTCAAAGAAGACAAAGAAAGAAGTATGGGCATTTTTTGGATATTTGAAGAATGCCGAGGGACAGTTGTCTGTGAAGGGCAGCAACGCTACATGGCCATCATAATGCAGCCATTGTCTCACTACTCCGCCATCTCCAGTTCACCACTTTTCACAAAATCTTCTGGTTGCCACTGGTCCTGGTGGTTTTTCTTCCAGTTCGACGAGTTTTCTTTTGGAAGGCTGGCTGACTCCAGTTAAAAACTGCCACATTTCACCGCTAGTTTTAACACGAAGCTAACGGCTAACTTGATAAACTGATTGAATGGGATAGGTGGAAATGACGTTGGATGCGGCGTTCACGTTTCGCGTAAGTTTGTGTAAGTTGCATGCAGGCGGGAGGAGTATCAGAAATCCGTGGAAGATGACTGATAAACATAACTAATTTGGTGCAAACATTTACTCGCCAGGTGGCAGGTAGAGCTCAAAAATTTACTCGCCAAATGGAGCAATTTACTCGCATTTGGCGAGTGGCGAGTGCTAATTTCGGACCCTGCATGTAGCTAATGTCCCGCTGATCTCCGATCATGGAGAAGTAGCTGATTTGCGAGGCCAGGGCTCTGCTTGTAATTTAACAGTCCTGGTCCCAGTCCACGTTAGATCTCCACAGGTGACCAGCATGACTACAACCTTGCACTGAAGCTGGTTGGCCGTGCGGGTGGGCTGCCCCGCGGTTCCCGGTGCCATTCTTAGCTTCTGGGGTTAGCTAAGTTAACTAGTAGCTACATTGGTTTCATTTGTTCCAACCCTGTTCCAAACGTAACAGCCCCACCCTCAGCTCCACCTCTTTTCCCATTTTTAGATTGCCTGGGCGTGACTCGGTCAAAAAATCAGTGGTGGGAACCTCCCTTTTTTTTAAGCTTCCCCCCCCCCGGCGGAGCAATGGGCGGGCTATGTCCATGTTTTTATATGTCAGTGGTCCAAATGCAGCAGCGATTCTTTTCATGTCCTACTCAAACTCAGAAACCCAGTAGCCCATGATCAGAAAAATAACATTTTGCTTGAATCAAATACCACAATGGTGGGCACCACAGGGAAAGGGGTACGAGGCTTCTTTTTACCACTTTAACCGTGTTTAATACGAGCCGTTTATTCATCACTTTAACAAACATCAAATACAAAATAATAAAAATATCAAAATTTCTCTTCCAACAAACATATGTCTGGACTTCTTCTGTGATGCTCTGGATCGGTCTGTGCATCATGCATGAATGAATCACCCATCATCATTTATTGGACTGACGATCAGCGGTGGGGAAAAATTATACATCGCCCGACCCTGAAGGCTACAACAGATGGGCCCAAATAAAAAGTTTCAGGTATCGGCAGTAGGGTTGGGCATCGAGCATCGATTGGAACCAGTTCCAACTGTTCATTTTTCCCGGAATCGCTCAACGTTTTTTTATTTCGATTCTTGTTTCGATTCCTAGTATGCAGACGGAAGAGGAATCCGCGGCCGATCTCCATGAAAAATAAACGTGATAAACGCTTTTCTGAGCTGATCACACCAGCTGTCTGTGTGCAGCACGAGTCCCCCCTCCCCACCCGGATGTAAACAAACGCGTCTGCCGAACTTTTAATCCGTGATGTAAACTTTTAACTCCTGCAGCGTAGAGGAGACTTGTTAAATACGTCAACACGCTGGATTTAATAGAAGCTGTAAAGAACAAACTCTGGACGGTGTGAGGTGAGTTTGTCTCACTGCAGAAATAACAACACACACTGAGCGTCAGAAGACTGAACAATAACCTGTAGAATAATTAAAGTCATCATGCTAGAAAAGCTTCTCTGTGGTGGACCACACCAGCTTCTGTCACAATAAATAATTATAATAATTATTATAATAATAAATAACATTTTAATTTCCTTTCTGAACTATTTCTGTTGAGTTTTAATGTTTAAAATCTGTTAGATTGTTACTGACAGCAGCTACGTTTAGGGATGCAACGATACCACTTTTTTCCAAACCGATACGATACTTGGATCTGAGTACTCGCCGATACCGATTACCGATACAGATACTTCTACCACACAAAAAAATGCAATGAATTGGAATACAAGTTTTATTTTCTTCTGTTTTCAATAGGAAAAGACTGAGGTAGATAAAAAGTAATATAAGTGATCACAAAACTAAAACATTAGGTTAATAGAAATGACAAGTTACAGGGAAGTCACTTTCAAGCAACTGCATTTGTATCATTTACTGGTATCTGTTAACTTTTACCGATACCGATACTGGTATCAGTACCTGTATCTGCACCAATACCAATACCAGTATTGTATCGGTGCATCCCTAGCAACGTTTAAGTTTCACTTCCTGTTCTGACTGAATGCTGCTGCAGCATGGAGGTGTAGTTCTCAGTCATCCTGGACATGACCATCCTGAGAGCTTTAGCTGAAAACAGCTGGACGTTTCTGGATATGTTGGAGACATTTAGCCTCTCGTCCCAGAGGCTTCTTCCAGACTTTGGTTGTGGTCAGAAACAAACACACTGGTTGTGCTGCAAGTCCTTTTCTAACATGTTTTTGTCTAAATGAAGGTGATGTTGTTGTTCATAGAATTAAAATCCATGTTGACGTTAAGATTATTTCATCAAGTAGGACCTGTGGTTAGCTGGCTCATGTGAAGCATGTCATGTCTTCAAAGAATCTGAATCGGGAATCCATAGGAATCGGAATCGAAACGAGGAATTGGAATCGAAATCGTTCAAAATCAAACAATGCCCAACCCTAATCGGCAGCGAACCTGGTGTCCTGACAGCTGGAAACCTTACTCTGTTGTTGCAACTATAACATTTAGTGTTTGTGTTCCATATTACACCTTTAATCCTGGGGAAAACCCTGGATGTATAAAATAGTTGACATCAGATCCTGGGAAGGTGAAAAAAAAAAACGTAGCTGGCATGATCACAACACCTTGTCTAAAATTGTTATTTCGATCAGAAATTGATAGATTATCAACCCTAGTGCTTAAAACCAAAAAATAGAGACTGTCAGTCAATTATTTATTATTTATTATTATTATTATTATTATTATTATTATTATTATGTCTGTGGCATGATGGACCACGTCTGCCTGGGCTTGGATAGGAGGAGAAAAGATGGGAAGAGTGGGGTGGAGGGACAACAAAAATGGAAACGATACAAGCATGACAAACGTGCTGGCCATCAACAACCTAACAGAACTAATGCATAACGATAAATAGTTGTGTGTGTGTGTGTGTGTGTGTGTGTGTGTGTGTGTGTGTGTGTGTGTGTGTGTGTGTGTGTGTGTGTGTGTGTGTGTGTGTGTGTGTGTGTGTGTGTGTGTGTGTGTGTGAGGATATGTCAGGAAAAGTGGATTTTTAACTGTGTATGAGATGAGGAAGGAATGGGCGGCCGATTAGCACCACAGCATTGAGGTCACACAGACTTCCGACAGCCCCCAGAGGGCAGACTCAAGCCGGGGGACGAAGGGACAACAGTCCCCGGCCAGAAGGAACCCGTAGGGGGATGCCAAGCCATGAGCCCTCAGGCCTTGGAACAGTGGTCTACCACCTTCAGTCAGACTTGGACAACTGGACATTAAAATAATGGCTGCAGTTTAGTCAGCTGCTTATTTAGTTTTTTTGCTTGGTCTAGATTAGCTTAATAACAGGTCGCTAGATAGTTTTTTCCCCCAGTTCAACTTTGGCCATGTTCTTTGCAGGAGGTTCAGCATCATAGTCTTTTCTTGGGTTATTAGTTCCTGCTTTGCAGCTGTGTCTAACATCTCTGATAGGCCAGAGTCGGCTATGAGGCTGTTGCTATGGGTTTTATTACTGTAAGACATTAAACCCTTTTAAGTGATCGAGTCAGAAAAGGGATACGGGTGCTTGGCGGCCCTGGAACGAAGGAAAAAACCCTTTACATGTCACCATCACATCACTCAGAGACTTGAACGGGTGTTTCCATACCTCTTCACACAACAGCTGTTTGTGTCTGTGGAGTTGTACCTGTGGCTCACAGGTATGGTTACCATGACGATCTAATCTTTCTCCATCTCTTGTTACCTCACTCTTTTCTTCAAACATAACTTCAGCTCTTTTCTGAGATCTCATCATCTGAACTTATTTGAACACGACTTTTAAGTTTTTTGGTTTCCATTCCCATGCTAGGATATTAGCTTTGAACCACTTCTGTAGTAGAACATTTCAAACATCGACCACAAATGGTATATTCAGCGCTAAGCATTCACACTGTGTTTTCTCTAAAACTGCATTCGTTTCTAGTAACAAGTCCCTCGCCTTTGCTGGCTTTACTGGAGGAAGTGGATGTTTGCTGTATTTTTGTAGGAACTGCTCTGGCATCCAGAGAAATTTCTTCTGAAATGTTTTGTTAAAATCTTTTGTTTTGCCTGCATAGCAAATTTAAGTGCATGATATATAGTACATTTGCTGAAGTAAATGATATCATATGCATGAACACGTTAGTTCTGGTACACCACTTATAGTCGCTAAGGTAGAGTAAGTTGATGTTCTGTCTTTAAATGTTTCTGAATGGGTTTCCGTAAGTTCTCAGATTCTTCTCAGATGATCATTCTTCTGTCCTTTATTTTTTCTTTCAATTTTTTCAGATTCCTTTCTTTCCTCTTCGCCTGTATCTCTCATTCAGTCTCCTCAAGGCAAGTTTATGGTTTCCTTACGCTGCTCACCTGCTCCGCCCCTCTGCACTTTTCTCATGCTGGCCTGTTGCTGATGCTCTTCATCATACCTCGTTCCGGTGCCCCTCTCCTGCTTGCAGAACTTTTCATAAAACCTGAGGAGAATAAATTAGCACAGTGAACTTCAGCTGCGGTTAAAGTTTCTGCTTCAACTAGCTTTTAACTACCTGCTCTTACAAGCCCGGCCCTTTCCCCATCCGCCCTCAGCACCACTGACTCTCCGTTGCTACTCTAATTGTAATCTGCCAAATAAGAGTTGCACTTGTTCTTTGTGACCACATGAATTATTGTCCTAATCGCTCCTAACGTCACCTCACGAAGACTTACTAGTTAATGTCCAAAACGGACCCTTGGCAGATTTTCTGTTGTGCTTGATGTGCATCTGTGCATAGTTTAATGTGAGAACCAGTACCTTCACCAGCACAGCTTCTAGAAATGGGGTCTCTTTCCTTTGGAATGATTAAGTGGGTTTGAGTTCCCCCCCCCAGCGGCAGTAAATACCCCAAAGAACAGCTAATACTTGTTAAACTGACAACTCTAGTCACATTTACTCATCTTTCATTCCGATATTTAGACACTGCATTGCACTTTCAGCCTTTGCCAGCTGCTAGCAACCATTATTCAGGTCACCACCACTCACTGTTGGTTCAGGGTAATCCCAAGGTTGCTGCTTTATTTTAAGAAAGCAGATAAGTTCAAGTTCACATTATGCACTCCTGCCGAAACCTAAAAGTGGATCAGGTTTGTGTCCCAGTGGGACGATCCTACCTTCATGCTGTCCTAATATCTGAATACACCCCTCCCCCAGTATCAACTGTCTCTGAGGATGAGTGGCACTGGAGATAACATCCACCACCTAGTGGTGTGGATCTGCCATCGCCTGTAGCTGCTCACACACCCTCCAGCCCCATTGTTTTGGCTCTGTAGGGTTTCATGCATGACAAACCATTGCATTTAAGCTTTAAGTAGGTTTTCTTTATTTTCTGTTCTTTTGCTTTTTTCTTTTCATTCTTAGACTGATCCTTATCAATGTTATTGTTCTGTAAATATACCTTGTTTGAGTCTAAAGAAGAAAAAATGTTTTGAGAACATTATAGGAAAGAGTTTACTACCCTGTCATAATCATAACCACTACACGTTCATAGTTTTGACTCCTATATGAACAGCTAATGACCCACATTAGCCAAGCCAAGCTATTTTTGGCCCAACCCCATAGCCTAGTTTAGAGATCACAACACACACAAGTATAAATAGTATAATAGGTCTGAAAAATTCAAACTAATCCAATTAGTTGATCTATGGTATAGCTGCAGTTGCAGGCATTGGTGCAATGGAATGGTGAAATAGGAGACAGTCTATGGCACCGTTGACCAATAGAAGCGATGTCTGTCAAACCTGGGTTTTCACATCAAGCCCCATTATTCTTCATTTCAGGGTTCCTAAACGACTAACATGAGATTTTCCGATTTGCTCAGTGAAATCTATGAAAGATTTCATAGACAAAAATACAAAATGTAGTTAACTACCGTATTTTCCGCAACATAAGGCTCACCTGATTATAGGGCGCACAGCCAGTCAGCATCCTAGTTAAAGGTTTGGTCCGCACATAAGGCTCACTGGATCAAAACACGCACCCAGCAAAGCAAACGAGCATCCTGGTCGGCACGATTAAGTCAAATTGGGTAATTAGATCAAAGTCAAATGTTACTCCACTCATTATCTGTACAAAAAAATAAATTTCTCATTATTAAAGTAACATTTAGTCCCAATTTCATGCACGGGTGCTTTTAGCAGCAAGAATGAAGATTTAAACTCAGGTAACGGCATGAGTGACTGAACGCAGCGCTAAGGCCCCCTCTTACCGCTGCAGGACAGAGGAGCCGAGTCGGCCGGAGATGAAGCATTATGTGCGGCCACTGTGTGGCTGTTATGACCCGGGAGCCGAGCAGAGAAGTCTTACTCCACCTAGTAGTGCGTAATTGGTACAATAAGCCAAACGAAGGAGTTGGATCAAAATCAAACTTTATTCTTCTCATTCACAATAAAAATAACAATTTCGTAATTGTCAGTGTCATTTTTTGCACTGATGCTTTAAGCAGCAAGAGTGAACAATCAGACGTATGGCTGTTTAACAAACAAAAGTACAATTTTTACACGCAGGCACGGCTGGAGCAAAGATGCGCATTCAGACAGCGGCAACACAACTGTTTGCTTATGTTTAATATAAACAAATTTAAAGTCCCAGTTTTACGCAGGGCGCTGTTGCCCATTCGGATCGTGGCGACACTGTACAGCTGTTTAATATGAACAACGTGTTTAAAGTCCTATCTTTACGCACAGGCGCTGTTGGCAACACAGCTCTGTACAGATTTGTCCATAGCAAATTATTCAGCAGCAATACTGAAAAAAAGCACTCACATTTTTTTTTCATTCCTCGTCCATAAATCCCTCAATCCTCGTTGTCCGTGTCTGAAATGAAGAACCGACTCAGCAGTGAACCCAGCGCGCTCGGCTCCGACACGCCCGGCTCATCGCCGTCAGAGTCGATTGTCACTGTCGTTGCTCGGCTCTCCCGTTGTGATTCCGTCCTTGGTGAAAACTCGAACAACAGTCTGGACGGAAACGTTGGCCCAGGCATCAGCGATCCACTCAAAGATGGTGACATAAGTTGATCGGCGCTGCCTGCCCGTCTTGGTGAACGTGTGTTCGCCATCAGTCATCCAGCGCTCCCACGCTGCTCGGACTTTCGCTTTGAAGGACCAGTTCACCCCGATGTCCAGCGGCTGGAGTTCTTTGGTTAATCCACCCGGTATGATGGTGAGCGCAGTGTTCATCCTCTTCACCTGGATTTTAACGGCGTCGGTGAGATGGGCCCGCATAGAGTCGCAGATCAGCATGGCTGGAGAAGTGTGGAAGAAGCCGACCCGTCTTTTGGTGTACACCTCCCGCAGCCACGCCGCCATCATGTCCTCATCCATCCAGCTCTTCGGGTTCGCCTTGATGATCACGCCAGCGGGAAACTTTTCTTTGGGTAAAGTTTTCCGCTTGAAGATGACCATCGGCGGCAGCTTCTGGCCATCAGCCTGGCAGGCGAGCATAACAGTGAAGCAGGACTTCTCATGGCCGGTCGTCCGCACAGACACCTTGCTGGTCCCCGTTTTCTCCACGGTCCGGTTCACTGGGATGTCGAAGGTAAGCGGGACCTCGTCCATGTTGGTGATGTGCTGGGGCTGGAAGTTTTTATCTGCCATCTTCTTAGTGCAATAGGAGCGGAACAACTAGCTTCTCAGCGTATTCGGCAGGTAGCTGCTGCAAGACAGTAGTTCTGGTGCGGATAGAAAGCACTCGCCTCCGCATGAAGCAAAAACACCAGGAAGGGCCTCCCATGAAGTCCGCAATGTCCATCTCTCGTGCTAATGCTGCAGCTTTGAGACGAATGGAGACGGTGGAGACACTTCTGCTCGCTGCTCTGTGACCCACTGCTCAACTCAGTCTTCAAGCAGTGGCCATCTTGCCTTGTTGCCTCTGAAGCTACGCTGTGTTTTCTTCACCTGCAGCAGCTGGTCTTCCAGCTTTCTCCAATTGCGGACCATCGACTTGCTAATCTTGTATTCTCTCGCTGCTGCTCTGTTTCCATGCTCAACGGCGTGAGCGATGGCTTTGGGCTTGATTTCTGCCTCATAAGCGTGTCTCCTCGCTGGTGCCATGGCTGGTTACCGGTATAGCTGTGTGGAGAAGTGCCACACCTTTTATTTGGTAAGGGTGGGCGGTGCTACAGGCCGGCTCTTTGTTTTTCTGTGGACGCAGGTGTGGCTGACTTCACTTACGTCTTTAATACACGTATAAAAGGCGCATCCGTATTAAAAGGCGCACTGCCGGTTCAGGGGAAGATCAGAGGTTTTTAATAGTGCCTTATGGTGCGGAAAATACGGTAGCTGTCAGACACAGATATTCAGAACAGGTAAATAGCTTTACGCTGGTGTTGATGGTGCTACTACTGCTGGAGGGGATCACTGATGGTTTTTAGAAGTGTATGAAAACAGTTTTATGTTGAAAGTAGGGGTGGATTGACGTATCAGTCGGCCAGTATCTCAGGGCATTATTTAGCGTTTTTATATGTCTGCATCAGCTGATACGCCTCCTTAGTGAAGCCAATTAGAAGTCAGGCAAATCCCCAGGCAGCCCAGTGCTGCTGGGGGAATGTAACTCAAATATTTATTTACATTCCTGAATAACTGTTGAAATGGTCCATGTCAAAACCACTGAAAATACATCTCATCATTCCTGTCATTTTTTCTATGTCAGACACTGGGTGGGACTTTCTCCATTCATGTAGTGAAGAATCGTAACCCACAATGCACTGCAGCATTAATAGCTGATGCTAGCCGTTAGCACGGTGGAGGGCTGATGGGTTGGACCAGCTCTTTAGCTACTGGACTCAGTCCAGCGTGAACCTCTGTAGATACCAACATACTTTATAGAGTCTAATGTTGGACCATCCAACAGCTGAAGCTGAAATTGAACCGTGATCCAAGCACAGCAACAGAATCAAGGTGCTGCTATGGTCCAGTCTAAGTCCAGAACCTGAATGAAAGGCTGTAATGGGACCTGCTGGGAAGCTGAGGAGAACCTGGTCTCGGCAAACTTCAAGGGTGGACCAGAACTCCTCCAGAACCACGTGAGAAACCGATGGTGTTCCTGAAGCTAAAGGAGTTTCTGTGCATCAGGTGGAATCAGCTTTTCCATGTTATCTCTCTTCCTGTTTAGTAGATGACACGATGAGTCTTTTGGGTGTTTGTTATACTCTAGGTTAGGTGAGAACCATTTAAAACCTTTTGATCCCCGGATCAGGTCAGATCTGGACGTGTAGAATCCTGGACCCAAAGGAGATGGACATGTTTTTCTATTGATGCTTTTAAAACTGTTCCTGAAGGCAACATAAGCCTTAAACGACTGGTTTATCATGGTACCAAGTATTTCACAGGGTTCTGTTCTTGAGTTATTGTTTTTTTTAATTGAAGTAACATTTGTTTGAACAAAAGCTCTGATGTTCGTTTGTTCATGTAGCAGATGCTTTTATTATCCAAAACAATTTACTATTTAACCTAACACGCTTGTTTTGGGTTTGTGGAGGGAATCCAGGAAACTCAGAGAAAATCCTCACATGCATGAGGAGTGCATGCTAACTCCACTCAGAAAAGCCACAGCTAGGATTCAAACCTGCAACCTATGCAGCCCAGCTGTGATCCTTTTTAGCATTTATAACGTTTTTTAGCAGCATTATTTAGAAGTATATTTTTCTACTAACTAGGCTGAGGGGAACGTCTGTTAATTTGGCCCAGTTAGAACAAGGCGTCGTGTTGCGGAGCAGAGAAGCCCGTTCTAGGATGAATTTGAGCCATAGTTGGACTCCAGCACGAGAACGTCCGATTGGTTAATGGAAGTGGGTCTTGGTGATGACTAAGCTTATCGTGGAACAGTCTTGAAAGACAAGCACTTGAAAAATGCATCTATAAGCAAAATAGATGAAAAGGTTTCCACAAATGAATTATTTTTCATATTTTAGAACGATTTTAAGTGCTTTAAGTTAGTAAGTTTTCCTATATTATCATTTGTTGGGAATAACTAGTTAAATGCAGATGTTTGGGATCTGCTGGCTACCATGATTGTTTTAGCTCATTTATTATTGTTAGACGTGTCCTTCAGTACAGTGGGATGAACCAGTCTTCTGAATGACATTATTTTAGATGTGATCGTTCTGTTTCACAAACCTTTGCTGGAACTTAATTATTGTGTCTGTCAAAGAAAAGGTGCTTCGCTTCTTTTTCTTATTTCCATTTTAAGAATGAAGTTGTTGCTGCATAAGTCAGCAAAAAGGTTCATCTCCTCCCTGTGTTCTTTGTCATCGCTGTACTTGGGCTGAGACCCACTGCTCTTGTGTTGTCTGCATTGTTTATTCTTTACTTAGCACTGCAATCCTGGCTGATTAGGGTGTAGAGTAGGGGGCTCAGGATGTGCCCTTGTGAAGAACCAGTCCTTACAGAGGTGTTTTTTTGATTTGTTCTGTCCACCCTGTACAAATCATAGCCTGTCAAAAAGTCCAGTATTCAGTTTTTCAGGGTTCAGTCCAAGTGGGACCTGATCTGGACCTGCTCTTCTCCAGGTGTTTCAGAGTCAGTCAGGTGACCAACACCAACAGTAATTTGATGCATAGCTGATTGAGTCGGTGTTTGACGTGGACTCTATCTTTACATCAAGACCAACAAACGGGTGCAGTTTCCTGAACAAACTAGATCTGAAAATGATTATGATGAAGAACAGCAAAGCACAAAGCAAACAAAATAATCCACTGGGTCAGTGCTGGTTCTTGTTTTCCCTATTCTGACAAGCTCTTACCAAAACAAACCCCAACCTGGGGAACTCCTGTTCCTCCAGTACAAACAGCATCATAAACTACAAGAAGCTCATCCACCTTAAAAATTAATAATTTCCAGAAGAACAAGGACAGAAAGTTTGATCGTCAAATAACCTACCTTAGTGCTCAGATGGGTCCAACGAAACAAAGAACACTGTAAACAAGTAACGGGTCCAAACTGAGACGTTTAGATGTTCAGAGGTAGAATGTAACAGGAACAAATATATTGAATTGGTAATTATTAAGGACTCCCTGAGGAAACGTGTACAAGCCAACATCCATAATAAACAGATTACAGTCCTGTAAAAGTGTATTAGGTGTCATCCTCCTGTTTTGCGGTGATGAAGGATCACTATGGTACACCGACTTTGTTTTTGTTTTGCTTTATTTAATAATTCGGATAATGTTGCCAGAGTGCACCCTGCCTAATGCTCAGACCAGTTATCAATTAAGAACCCGTTCTTATTGTGCCTTACATTTCATGATGCATGCATGCATGCTTGGGCTGCTACATTAAGGCATAGCTGAATGGAATAAGTGCATGGAACTTTAGTGGTAGTGATTTACTTTTGACCTTCCCATTTTTGTCCTCTTTTCTGCCGTCTGTGGTTGGTGATGCAGACAAGAAAGTGGTCCAAGGCTCTGACAAGCCCTATGAAGGTGTAGCTACATTACTGCACTTTCCCTCTCAACCTGCTTCATTCTCACCAAGCAGTTACGGGAGTGAAGCAGGGTCAGTAGATGAACAGCAAGACTCTCCAATAAAGATGTCTCCTGTTTCTGAACGAATAAAGGCACTAGAAGCTCTTGCTGCCAAAAAGAAGGAACCGGATTTTAGAGGCAATGGGGGTTTTGTTCTTTTTAAGGATCGGCACCATGAAAAATCCCTCTCCGAGACTTCAAAATCTCCCACCGAGATGTCAAAAACACCCACTGCGACATCAAAATCTCCACCCGACGTTTCAAAATCTCCACCCGACATGTCAAAATCTCCACCCGACATGTCAAAATCTCCACCTGACGTCTCAAAATCGCCACCCGACGTCTCAAAATCGCCACCCGACGTCTCAAAATCGCCACCCGACGTCTCAAAATCGCCACCCGACGTGTCAAAATCGCCACCCGACGTGTCAAAATCTCCACCCGATGTGTCAAAATCTCCCTCCGAGGCACCAAGGCCCCCCGCTGAGGGACCAAGGTCTATTTCTGAGAAAATGATACCTACTCTTCAGAAAGTGGGAGATTGTGCAGATCACGAGTCACCAGAGTCCCCTTTTGAAATACTTGAAGATTTGCGACATGTAAATGAGTTTGAAGAGACTGAACAGTGGATGAAGGCTCATTTGCCCCCTGTCCCAGACTTTGACTGTGAAGTTTTAGTTGAAGGCAAGAATGCAGTTCCATCAAAGTTGAATGATTTGGATACACCGGCTGCCATTGCTGGTGTACCTGACGTTTTCATGGATTGTCCTGTTGAAGTTCAGAAACTTAAAGAAGAGCTTGTTGGAACACAGAAAACAGGAGTTGAGGAAGAGTTTGATGTTAGCTTTTTACCAACAGCTTACATGTGGGATCGTCAGGAAAAATCAAGTGTTGAGGCTCCATCAAATCTTGAGTCGGCGATTCAGTTTTCAGCACCTTCTGTTGGCTTTGATTCCACACCATCTTCTGTGTCCCCTCGATCTTGTCCAGATGCTAACCAGAATTTTTCAAATGAGATGAAAGCCTCTTGGAGCGGAGATTTTGACCAGCCAGATACAAGCGAAGCAGACAGTTCAGGGGAGTCTGACGATACTGTCATTGAAGATAGTCCTGGGGCTCCTGCTTCTGTTTTTCCATCATTGTCCAAGGATTCTGTTCCTGTATCTACAACTCCTGCTCAAACTACCATGGAAATGGACAACGATTCACCAAAGTGTGAAAGAAAGCTAATGCAGGTTCCAACAATAAATGTTATTGAAACTGATGAGCCAAATTACAGTGAAGAGGAAATGGACATGGAGTCTGAGACAGAAGAAGGAGACAATCAGGTTGTAAAAGACCTAGCCACAGAGGCTCCAAAAATATCAGAGCCAGATGATGATAAATCAGAACTACCCAAAACACGTCCCTTGGAAACTGAATTCATGGAAGGCTACTCTCCTCCATCCTCGCCTGTGGACTCTGATGATGAATACTCTCCAAAACACAAAATTCTCAAATCAAATGCCGTGACCGGCTTTGAGCCAGTCCAACCCAATCCAGCAGGTCCACTGGACTCAATGGAAAAGTCACTGCAAGCACAATTTGACAAATCTCCAACTACCTTGACCAAAGTTACTACTGAACATTCACTTTCTGGCGTCACAAATGAAGAAGTGGACTTCGCAAACGATGATGAGTGGTCAGAAGTAAAGGAGATCCTGGTTAAACCTGAGAAGACTTGTCTTGTGTCTGAAATTGATGAAAAAGGAAATGTAGCATCTAAAGAGATGATTGAACCTGCTCCTCTATCCAGATCCAGCTCCATGCAGGATGATATTTATGACCGACAGTCATTTGATTATGACTCTGATGCAACTGCTCCCCTCGAACATGAGAAAGGGCTAAGCAGTGCTAAGGAGCGCTTTCTTTCTGATGCTGTCCAAAGTGGTGATGTGCAAGGCAGGTTTGATATGGACAGAACCATTTCACTCAGTGAGGAAGACTTCATCAAATCTGATGGTCTGCCACCTCCAGAAGAATACCCCCCAAACCCATACTCCTGTTTTGAAAGCGAGACCAAAAACTTCACCAGTGAACAAGAGTCCATGGAGAAAGTAACTACAGATGATGTTGTAGATGACATAAAAAATGCCAACACCCCCCTCTTCCAGAAACCTGATTCAGACATCCATCAGATCAATAAAGTGGGTCTTGATGCACCTGACATAACCAGCTCAGACAGAAGTGATGACAACTCCTCTGTTTCTGAACCTACTGATAGTTTTGTGGATTTCATGAAAGAGTGTCTAAAGTCTAGACAGGATGATGAAGAAGCAGATGGTCTTCATCAAAGTGTACCCTCTCCTTACAGCAGCTCTCCGAGCATGGTGATGGATCTTGAACAAGAACATCTTACAATCAGTGCTCTTAAAGAGCTTGGCAACAGTCAAGATGAGGAGGGGCTTGTTTCTGAACCAAATCAATCTAACCCCAGTTCTACATCTATGCAGTCAATGTCTTCCACCCCAGATCCTCCACCATCATTTTCTCAAGACAACCGTGTCTGTGACAACACGTATTCCAGAGAGGTTGAAGTCGTAGACGAATGGGTAGCTGAAGCCTACCACCTTGCTGAGCATGTCTTGACGGCAATACTAACTCACTTATCAGGTAACCCCTCTTCTCTCTGGGCAATAGGCCATCTTACCTCATGCACTGCTCTCCACAAGATCTTTTTTCTGACAGTTTGATTCGTTTTGGCATGTTTGTTAAATCATTAGGAGTTGTTCTAAGTTAGGAACAGGACTTTTTACCGTCTACCCTCAGGGTTCTTCCTGTGAGCTCAAGTTTTGTTTCCGAGTTCAAAGGATTTATTTCTGTTATGGTCATAAAATCTAAATGGTCTTCAGTTGTCCACAATGAGAAGACAAACAATTTCCTGCTTTAACACTGTTGTAACATCGTCACTAATGTTTGCACAACACTGAAGCAACGTAACATTAGATTATTTTTGTGATGTTTTACATCAACCTGACACACTCTTCCTGCTTTAGTTTTGTTTGCTGCTATTTTGATGCTTTCTACCAGTGGTGCAGTTCATGAATGGAATCCATCTCATTAGTTCGATTTTTGGTCAGGATGTGTGAATTTGTTTAGTGTGCGTATAGAGCAAGCCTTTTCCTGGTAAGGTAGCCGGGTCAGTCATGAGAATGGCGCGAAGGTCACACCAACAGCATTGTCTGGATTTTCTGCAATGTCCTTGTTATTGGCAACATAATACTTGCCCAGAATAAACCTATTTCTCTGATTCTGCTTAAGTAGAGTTGGGAAACTGACTGGGTGTTTATTAGTTTGTTGTTATTGATCTCAAAACAATTGGCAGTGGGTTAATTCTACTCTTATATCAGCTGTACTAAAGGGAGAATGAATAGCTGAGGTTTTGTTTAAACCAGGTGACGGCTAACTGATCAAGTATTTGGCAGGGACGGTTACTAGTTCCCTTCACCGCTTCTGGCTGTGGCACTTAAAAAATGTTCAACATCATTGGCTTTGTACAAACAACTGTAGGTCTGATGAAAGCAGGATTCTCTGTGGATAGAGCAGTTTTCATGAGGAGACCAATAGGTGTTGTTGTTAACCCAAGAAAAAGGCCAACGTGGGTCAATCCAGGTTCAGCTCTACTTGTCCAGACCTGTAAGGATAGCAAGTCTTTGGGTTGTGTTAAGTATCTTCTCACCATTTAAAGGCATTACAAGTTGCTTTTTTGTTTCAGAGTTGAAAAGGTCAAATGTTCAGAAACATCTCGGATAGTTTGTCAGCTTCTGACAAAAACACATTTAAGTGGGTCACTAACATCCTGAAGTCTCTGAACCTTGCTGAACTTTGACCTGTGAGGTCTAACAAAGAGACCCTGAATACATTATCTCCTCCATGCATTTTTCATATCTCCAGACTGGAGCTTTTAAGCTGCAGTTGTTACCATGGATTTCATCTCTCCTCTCTTGCATACATATTAAAGGAGTTACTTTGGCTTTAAAGACCAATGAGATAGGAGCTTCTTCTCCTGCTTGATTTAGGCGTGCAACAATGTCCTGTACAGATCATAGCTATGGATCATTTTTATCTCTTGTCCCTAGTTGGACTCCTGCATAAACCTCTCGAGTTTGTCGATGTTTAAATAACCAACAAACTAAACTATTTTACAATACATAATATAATATGTAGTGGTACTAATTAGGGTTGTCGTGGTGCGAAAATTTTAACCTCACGGTTATTGTGACCAAAATTATCACGGTTTTCGGTATTATCGCGGTATTTTTTTAAACGTGTTTACATTTTCAGACAACTAAATAAACCCTGTATATCAGGAAAATATTGTCCTCAGTTTGTGTAGAAATTTTTCCTAAAATTAGTTATTTTGTAATTATGTTGTTTATTTGTTTACATATTTCCCCTTTAGTCTTTAAAATACCAATATTTGCCCATAACTTCTTATTTTATGTCTGTTTGATGTCATCATTTTAAAAATATTAGACCAGATGATACTCAGTACTCAAGTAGCCTTCTAATCAGATACTTTTTTACCCTTACTTGAGTAATAAACCCTATATCAGGAAAATATTGTCCTCGGTTTGTGTCCTTCCAGTGAGCTTTGCAGATGTGGGAAAATGTCATCAGGCAGTAATCATTGTTAAATTCATAATTATTCTCTGAGAGAGACCAACTCTTATCTGCCCCTGGGAGCCCCGTAATGCATAGCGTCATTTCAACATGGCGGTGTCCGCGACACGGTTTATATGCAGGTAGCGGCGCTGCGGCTGCTTTATATAGCGACTCGTTGCGTTCTCCCTCAACCCAAATCCTCGGATCACGCATTTTAGCTAAAGCGCTAACATTAGCTTGCCTTGCGTTGACTGTAGAGTTGTGGGTGATGGTCACGCAGATGTGTCATGAGATTTGAAGCGTTGCTGCCTTTCACAGACACTTTTTCTGCACGTGCTGCAAACAGGATAGCCGTCTTCACTAAAATGTCCCTCAGCATTCTTCAAATATCCAAAAGATGCCCGTACTTCCCACTTTGTCTTCTTTGAGGGATAATAAATGTCCTGAGCGCTGCCGTCTCCTCCTTTGGCCGTTATTTCAGCTTTAGCTTCAAGAAAGTTTTGGTTGTAAACAACAAAGTGCGCATGTGCCGCCGGCAACTTCAGCAGATGATACGGTGGCTGGTAAGGGTCACCGCGCCTACACCGCAGCCACGGTAACCCACCGAGATAATATAGTTTTTAAAAAACAAGACGTTTATTATTGTCAACTTTTTTTACCGGAGTTTACCGCTACACTGGTTACCGTGACAACCCTAGTACTAATCAGCTTAAAATAGTAATAGTTGCTTGTTTTTTCACTTAAGCCTCAACAGTTAAAAATGCTGTTCGGTGGTAATGTGTAGGTGTGTCATATCGTATTACTAGGGACGATCCGATCATGTGATCGGAAATCTGTCCAGATCACGTGGTTTCAGACGGGATCGGGATTTATGTCGCAATCCGGACTCGAATACAAGGTTCCGATTACAGGAGAGCTAAGGGGATCCTGGTTCTCTCGAGAGGTCATTGGGCTCTCCTAAATCCGTCAATTCCCACACCCAGAGGGAGCCCGATAAAAGATCGTTTCTACCAGTATTACATTATTTACATGGGCTCTCTTTGGGCGGAGACGCAGAGAGCGGCAGCGCTGATTGTTCATGCGCTCCGCAGCTGCGTCCTGCACACGGCCACAGTAACATTTTAACGTGGCGACATATATAAATAACACACGATCGTTCACGTTCTCTCTAGTGGTTGTCTTTTATTCGAGCCTGACGTGTTTGGAAGACCAGACGAGCTCTGCAGCGCTCGTCACCCACGGTCCGGTGGCTCCACATCACTGGAGCGGCAGCGCAGCGCACACGCCGCTGTTTTTAAGTCAGTAGATACTTTTTATCTAAGCAGATCAAATGAAACGGGTGAGGACTGAGAGGAGACGATCAGAGATGGACACGACGGGAAAATCAAAACCAAGAAAACAAAACAAAGTAGGTAGATTTGTCCCACTGCATGATTTTACCTTTATAAAGCAATCATTTATCAGCATGTAATATTTATTTATTTGAAACAATCCAACTCAGTAATAATGCTGCGTAATACTTTTTATGGTGTCGAAGTCTTAACCTGCAGCAATAATGCTACAAGCTTCAGTTTAATACCTTTTTAGGTTTCAGAGTTGCCAAGAAGCTTTCTGAACAAGGTTTCTGTTACATGACAACGAGGTTTAGTTGTAGGGTTGTTCTCGCCTGTTTAGACCTTCAGTTCTCTAAAAGTCTTGAACTTAAAGGGGAGGTGACCTCAAGCAAACTAGAGCTGTGAGACCACAGCTGTCGGGGATCTTCTTCAGGCAGCCAGACCTTGGTGCATACACACCGAGCCTGCAGATGGGCTGCTGATCCTTGCTGTGTTTATCCTGTGACCCTATCCTGCCCTCTGTCCTTTACAACTTGCCAGCAGTCCTCGCACTCAGATGGCTTCAGGGTGTAGTACAGAGGTTTAGTTCTGGCTTGCAAAAGCCCGAAAAGTCACATGATCCAGTCAATCGGTGTCTGGTTTCGGCCGTCATCCTACTTTCCACAGCGCATTTAGCATCGGTGACAGCAAAACGGAGCACAGATTTAAAATGGGGCTTTCTTTTCAGCCTCCTGATGCAGATTTTTGTGAAATTTTTATTAATTTTTTATTTATTTTTGCATTTCTGCTGTTTCTGTTGATTTCCAGCTCACCCGCTTCTTTAGAAAAGCCTAAATCAATCTGCTCCACTCAGCACTGTAGTTCTGCAACCTTTAGTTGAAGCTGGCTTTGATCAGCGCGCGCGCACACACACACACACACACTTTCTCTCTACCTGGAATGCAGACAGTAATCCTGATGCATGTAGCCGTCAGCACGTGCCGTAGTCGACACCAAGAGCTGACTCTGCAACCAGATACCCAGAGATAATTTAAAGTTATTGTCATCAAGACGATTTACTTTCAACGCCATCGTGAATATTTACCCTTTTTAGCAGGGTTAGCTTTATCCTTTTTAAATGCTTTGTTTGATTTCAGGTCTGAAACTCTGTCCTGCAAAGGACTCGGCGTGTTGGTCTATAGCTTTGTCCTCAAACATTTTTAAGTAACGAATGCAGGCCAAGGATGGATGGAAACCTTCCACATCAGCTAGCAAACACCCAGTCTGTCATCGCTGTGGTTGGTTTTCTGTGTTCGTGAGGGTCTACAAGTCTAAAACATCCCCATCTCAGCAGCTGTGCTGCCGGTTTCACCCGTCTTCAGTGTGCTTACGCCAGGGTCCGAGTTTCCTTAAATTTTCACATTTTTTTCCGGTCAAGGTTTTATTATATTTCATCAAGTTTGCGTAGAAAATGACCTCTCAACTTTCAGACCCTGTTTAGTGGGCGAGGGAGCATCATAAACGATGAGACTTACGGATTTATCTGACCTGGGATCAGTGAGCAGCATGACTCGCCTAGTTTAATCACAAGTCTCAGCTGTAAAACGAACGGCGTCTCTGAGTGACCTGCACCTGAAGAGCTCCAGCCACGACGAGCTGCTAGCTGGCGTGTGCTGGTCCTGCTTTTTCCTCCCACTCCAGTGTTGATGCTTTCTCTGGTGTTTCACTTTAAGAGCAGCACTGAAAGTAGAGCACTTGGCGTCAGCAGAGAGAGAAATGAGTCCCTGTGGGTACCGACTGCAAAGCATGCTGGGAGGACGTATACATGCCCTGTAAACCGTGTGCGTTGTTCCTGTTGAAGAAATGCTGCATGTTTATGGAAATCGTCCCGGTGCAGCGGATTGAATCCGTTGTTGGAACCTGAGTTCTCCTCATCGTTGTAAAGCTGCTTAGCTGGACCGTAGAAACCCGTTGTGTCTGAAGTCCGGGTTTACTTGCCTGCAAAGCTTTTTATCTGTCAAACTTAGCTGATCGTTAACAAGTGGTGCAGACAACGTAGCTACATGCTATCAACATGGCCTCTCACGGGCGTGTGACTGCTGGTGGCAGTTCACAAAGATGTTTCCAACGCATCCCGGAACGTTTGTGAGCGTTCTTCGTTTCCTCTCGTGAGTCTCAGGAGCCCGTGCTCATGTTACTGGAGGACAGATGTTCTCACCACAGGCGTCTCAAACCCATCTCTTCAGTCCATTTAGTTTTGATCCAGACACAGAAAGTGGGAGCTTCAGCAGAAGTTGGAGACCAAAAACAGAAGAAACGTGATTAACTGAGACCTGGTGACTAATAAATGTGCACAGCATGACCCAGCTGGATTGAAAACATAATAATAGAAAAGTGTCGTGTCAAAATTTTCTAATTATTTTTTCCTGGTCTCCAACGACTCGCTCCCAGTCTACTCGGTGAGATACCGGTCTAGATGAGGATGCACACATCGGCTGCCTGGCTCGTGGAAAAACTCAAACAGAATCACACTTTTTTATTATGTTCTGTAATGTCCGACATCTTTCTTACAACCAGTTTGGTCATGTGGGCTGGTGGTAGATGTTTGACAGTTTTAGGCTCTTAGATTGAAGACCTTTGTCGTTATTGAGTAGCTCCTGGAATTTCAGGTTGGGACACCCGGTCCTACACCAGCAGAGTCGTAATGAAGATAAACTTTGACCTCTTCACTAGTTGTGCAGAACTGAGCAGTGAAGCAAAGACCAAAGTCCAGTTTCTTTTCCTGGTTCAGACTCTTGGGACAAGAAATCAGATTAGAAGTGTGCGAGAAACCAGTCACACCTGACTGGATTTAGGGTCACGTCTCGGTGCTACTAAGTACTCAGCCCCAAGCTTTCATAACTCTGCTGAGCTGCATGGAGGGGAGGGGGTGTCCTGTTTAAGTAGCTGGAGCTCTGAGGCCTTATAAGTCTGTGAGGCACCGGGCCACGTGGTTCTCAGAACGGAGAGGCCCAACAGTTCAGCCTTACATAACAAGCTTCAGCACGCAGCGAGCTGACTGAGCGTGCTCCAGACTTCAGCAGAACCGTCCTACTGACGTGTTCATGCCCAAAACCTGAACAAGGTGCGGAGGAAATTACTTCCTGTTTCAGTTCGTCTTCCTCGTTGTTTTCAAACAAACCAGGTTCCTTATTGCTGATGTGGTAGGGTGGAGGAACGAGGTCCCGGGCGGGATTCGATCCCCAGACTCCCGGGTGAGAGTCGCGCGCGCTAACCAGTCAGCCAACGGGACATCCCCTTGGCCAAGTAGCCAGGGCGTGTGACCAATCGGGTCACACAGTCACACTGAGAGTTCAGGGACTTAAAGAGCAAGTCACCCCTTACAAGAAGTGTACTCAACTCCCACTTCATGTTTGAAAAATGCAACAAATGCTGTTACCTAGCAGACCGAGAGGGTGGAGCCACTAACAAATACACACACTCACAACATTGTGACATCATAATGTACCAGTTTACATCATAGCATACCTCTTAGCCAATAGCGGTGGCAGATTTAAATTCAAATGCAGTGAAGAATTTTTACCTGACAACGGCACAACACTGCCAGTTTCAGGCAGAAAATTTAAATTTTAACTAAAATGCACGAAAGTGCAAAACTATTGACTACATGTGTCTGCAGCACGATTAGACACACATTTATATAGTTTATCAGAAATAAATAGTTGATTTGGGGGTGACTTGCTCTTTAAAAACAAACCAGGTGTGTAAAGTGTTCCGCAGTAGACCTGAGTGCATCATCACAGCTCCTAGACGTGATGAGAGATGCTCAAGGGCGTGAGTGTAATACCCCCCCCCTCTGCCTCTACAGTGAAGGACCTGATCCACTGGCGAGACCCTAAGAAGTCTGGTCTAGTCTTCGGCCTGTCCATGCTGCTGCTGCTGTCACTGGCAGCCTTCAGCGTCATCAGCGTGGCCTCCTACCTGCTGCTCGCTCTGCTCTGCGTCACCATCACCTTCCGCATCTACAAGTCCATTGTCCAGGCGGTGCAGAAGTCTGCTGAGGGACACCCATTCAAGTAAGACTGGACCTTCTGTTTCTGCTCCCTAGGAGCTTCCTGCTCGGATGCTTTCACCATCAGGTGGTCAGGGTTAGGTTCTCATGGTTTTTATGGCTGTGGATGAACATCTGTGAAGAGTGTGTTTAAAGTCTTTAAAGGAACGTTTCTGAGGGAGGGTTAGGGTTGGGGACAACCCTAACCAGAGAGAGGTCATCTAATCACAACGTGCCCCAAGTAAGTAAGTAAGCCGCTTTGGATAAAAGCGACTGCAAAATAAATAAACGTAAACATAAATATAATCTTTCACGTTGCTTCAGTAAAACCGACTTCATGTGAAGCGGTCGCAAAACTCCAAGAAGAGACCTGGATAGATCCCAGATCCCAGAGAAGCTAACATCTGTGATGTGAGCCGGACAGTGTTCGCTAGTGATGACTTGAGGCTGTAGCAGGGACCCGGGTCAGTGAGCTGTGCTGGCTTTCTGTGTGGACTCATTTTGTGGTCCCTTTTCTCTCGCCTCATTCCTCTGCAGAGCGCTGTTAGAGAAGGATGTCAGCATTCCTCCGGAGACCTTCCGTAAGCACGTCGATTCCAGTCTGACCTACATCAACCGAGCCCTGCAGCAGATGAGCCGCCTCTTCTTGGTGGAGGACCTTGTGGACTCCCTAAAGGTGAGGAGCTCCTGGACTTCTGACTGTTTTTCACTACAGCCGGGTCTTAGGTCCAGCTTTTAGTTCGGATCAACAGCAGCTCCACTGAGACCGCATCAAACTGATGTGTTTAGTGTTTTAGTTCAACGTGGGAGTTCCTGGCCAATGCTACAAACTACATGTCAGAAAGAAAAGAAGGCACCTTCTGTAAGAGTAAGAGCCTCTTCTGATGGACTCCTCGTGGTCCGGTGCTGACCAGGAGTTCTCCAGACTCTGTTCCCATGACAGACAGAAGCCTCTGGGCCACAGGATGTCGGTTTGGAGACAATTATTAGTTATCAGTTGACAGTAGAACGGTTCTGCACCCTGGCCAAGAGAACAGTAAAGGAACTAATCATAGCTTTATGTATTTGACACGTTGGCTACAGTTTTAAGTTAGCCTAGCCCTGAAAGCACCACGATGAAACGGCTGCAGATCAGGCATACAGGGTATCCGCGGGTGCTTAAAAAGTCTTAAATTTACGTTTCCAAATTTAAGGCCTTGAAAGTCCTTAAAAATGACAAATAATCCTTAAATACAGTTTCCAAAGGTCTTAAATTACCAAAGACCCAATAAACTAGATTATTTTGTTTCTATGACATTTTCGTGAATTTCTAGTTAGTGTTCAGCATTTTTTGTGTACGATGTTGGCGTAAGCGGAACCGTACACATGCAGTTGGTTGTGAAAGGGGGCTATTTTTAGATGAGCACGTTAGCTGGTTAAGCTAGTGGGAGCTTGCGCCATGGGGAAGTGGAAGTTTAATGGTAACTGGATGGCTAATCCCACGATCGCGACGTGGTTAACACCGGTTCCAGGCAATAGCTGGAAATTATAGCAGAAATAAAATTTTCAAAAATAGCTTAAATTTGGTCAAAGTGGCCTTAAAAAAGGTCTTAAAAAGTCTTAAATTTGGCTCCCTTAAACCTGCAGATACCCTGGGTATAGCTGACGGATCCGTGCTGGATTAAATTACTGCAAACATGGTGAGGATGGAACGGTCGGTTATAAACGTTGTTGGGGACATGTCCCCGGGCATTCCCGCTTTAAATGACTCCTATGGCTGGGAACTAGATCAGAGATCCAGCAGGGAGGACTGGACGTGTTACACTGGACCACCTCCACTTCCCATCTCCAGTCTCCACTTACTAAAATGACCGGATGAGGTTTTTCCAGCGTATCTTAAGAGGGCATGCGACTGGTCCGCACACGGGTATGTCTGCGTAAAGGTAACGCTCTTCCTGAGCCGCAGGATAAAAACGGAGTTCTGTCGTCACAGCAGAAGCCGTCTTTGGTTGTGATCTTCTACTCGTCTGCCGTTTGACTTCTAACCTCCCAGATCTCCTCCTGAACATTTGGAATGCCCCTTTTAACTCGCCCAGTTACCCAGAATGCATCAGTGTGTCATCCACTGCTGTTGGAGAGAGTCATGTGGGCACAATCATCGTTCCCCTGAGGTGAGAGAGCTGAAACGAGGGTGTATAAAACCTCTCCAGGTTTAGACGGGCGCCGTCTGAGCTGATCATTCACTGGCTCCGCCCCCTCACCCTGGTCCTGAGGCCCGTGGTCGACATTCCTGCAGCCCAGCCTTTTGGGAGGGGCCCTTCCGTTTAGAGAGGAGCAGGTTCTGGTGGTTTGAGCAGCGGGCGCCTCCCTGACACCTCCCAGCTGAGGCCTTTGTGTTTGATCCCAGACGCTGAGTAACGCTTTCATTTGGTTTTATTTTTCTTCCATGTCAATCAATCAATCAAAGCTTTATTTATAAAGCGCCCTCCGCAACCCTGTCAGGAAGCCCAAGGCGCTGTAGGTGAGCTTGTCATCACGTCTCCAGATTAGCCCAGATAGATTAGAATTAGTGTCGCAGAAGTAGTACAATCTAGACTTATTAATGAATATAAAGACCTTTTATGGTGAATGGAGATGCTACATCACAGCCCGGAGCTTCAGCAAACAAGGTTCTCCGTGTTAACACACCTGGAACCTGCAGGGACAGTGAAACCCGTTTGTGCTCATGACTACAAACCCAGCTCCTGGTCCAAGCGGGACCTGGTTCTGTGGGCAGGTGAGCACACAGCTGGAAACATCTGGAGGAAGTCACTTCGGCGTCTACAGCAGACTAGAACCAAGCTGTTAGAACTGGTTTGGTCCAGCAGGGGGCAGCAGTGAGCTGGAGATGAAACGGCTTGATGTGACTTTATTAGAGGTTGTCTGAAGGCCTGTGTTCCTCCTCAGCTGGCTGTGGTCATGTGGTTGCTGACCTACGTTGGAGCGGTCTTCAATGGAATCACCATCCTCATCCTGGGTAGGCACCGTAGGAATCACATGGAATCACTGATAAATGATGGATTAACGGAGTTTAATTCATCAATAAACGGAAACTTTAATGCTTCATAAACCAATCTGTGTCTGTTTTCCAGCGGATATCCTGCTCTTTGCTGTTCCTCCTGTCTATGAGAAGAATAAGGTACACACACACACACACACACACACACACACACTCTGAGGGCTTTCTGCGTCGGTCCAGCTGCTGAGAACATGAAGTCCTCCATTGTTGGGTTAGATAACGACCTTCAGCACCTCACATTCTGACAGGAAGCTCCTCTGGACAAAAGCATTAGTTTATTCTACGGATTAAAATCCTCACGTACGGCACCTCGTAGTGAAGGTGACGAGTCAGACCCACACGAGGTTGGAGGACGTGGCACTGGACCTGACCTGTAGCTCCAGGCAGACTTGTTGTCTAACTGGTTTCTAATTCAGAGGTATGGTCGGGTTCAGATCAGACCAGCAGCAGCAGACTCGGGTTGTTTACCTGTTGTGACGTCCCGGTCTCTGACGCGAAGCTTCACGTTGACCTGATGCTGTTGGAGGCTCTTGGAGCTCTGAACTCGTTGGTTCTCGTGATGATTGAATCTGTGTTCCTCCCTCAGACCCAGATCGATCAGTACATTGATCTTGTTCGTACTCGAGTCAACGCCATGATTGCAAAGTAAGTGTTTTAACCTCTGAAGGGTTTAAGGATTGAACTGGTAATTGTGTGTTGTGGTGCTCCACACCTGTGTTCAGGTTAATTTTGGGCACCATCAGTTTGGACCTGCTTTACTTCCTGTTTATTTTCATGTTTTTATTTGGAACGTTGTTGGTTGAGATGAGCAACACCTCCTTAGATGACCTGGTGCTGGTCTTCAGACCTCAGACCGGTGTCTGTGTGGAGCAGCAGCTCATCTTCTGCCCTCTCTCCACAGGTTACAAGAAAAACTTCCTGGAGCGGTGAAGCGGGCCAAAACCGAATGATCCTACACCCTTCACGTCTCCATCATCATCATCATCTCCATCATCTGAAAGCCCTCTATCATGTCCCCCACACCCCCGTCTAACCCCCACCCACCTCCACACTGCTACACTGAACCATGCTAGGTAGAAAATCTCCGAGCTACTCGATGTTCGACGCAAGACTACTGCACAGCTTAACACGAGCATTAGGACGCCGTGCGTGTGCGCGCACACACACACACACACACAAGGCCAGGAGGTCATGTGACACTTGAGCAAAACCCACCTGTAAATAGACTCTGGTGAACTAGACGGAATCTGCGACCTGGTTTCATCAAGTACCGCGAACACCAGGTGAACTGTAGCGGCGCCTAAAAAAGCAGAACCACAATTCCCTCAAATGACGAGGCACGTTTATTTATGAAATGAAGACGCCTGCGCGCTCCGATTGGCCCGTTTGGGTTGCTTTCACCTGTCTGTGATGCACTGAACCGTTAAACCCACGAGCGTGTTTGAATGGGCCGGCTGCGGGTTCGGTCTAGTTCACCGTCTTGTGTTGAGATGCACGTTGGAACCGTTGTTTGTGTAAATACACCTGAAGACGACGAGCAGCTCTGCTATTAGGAAACTCTGACCCGGCTTTTACATCCGAGGATGGTTCCCCGACTCCTGCTCCTCCTCGGGCCCGGCGCTGCTGTTCGTCTGTATAGTTTATTAGAACTCCTGTTATGGATCCGGTAGGACTCGGGCGTTCCTGACTGGACCCGGCGGGGTACATAGCGCTGAAACGTAGATATCCAAACGCTTTCCCGGGTTGCTGTCGATTTAATAAGTAAAATGTTTGATTTTAATTTATTTGCAAAAAAAAAAGTCCAGAGTTGATGTAAAATGTCAGCGGTAGATGAAACGCAACAGCGGGTCTCTACCAGAGCTTTAGTTTTGCAGCTGGACGCAACAGCAGCGTACTTTGTGTTGGTGTTGATGAACGCGTGGAAGATTGTGACCCGAGAAGAAGTTTGATGGTTCCGGGTCGATCAGGAGGTGCTGTTTAATGGAAGAGCAGATCAGAGCGCGTTATAGAAGGGCGCCCCCAGGTTGTGTCGTACTCCTGACCCTAGCTTTGTTCGGTAAGCCTTTCCAGCTCGTGATCGTCTCCGTGGTGATTTAGACTTTGGTAAACCGTAGTGACGTGTTCTCTCTGCAGCTCCGTCTCGTTTTTAGGAGGAAGTTGAACACCACGTGTTGGTGTTGGTCCTGACGTGTTCCCTGGGTGACCTGGCAAAGGTCCAACCCCCAACCCCCGTGCATGACCTCTGTACGTCGTGTCACTGTGATTCTCTGGCGTGCTCCAGCTGATTCGTGCTCCGGTCGGACTTCTGCTCTGCCACCTGGGCTCCGTCGGACGCTTGGCTTCTGAAATATAATTTCACTTAAACATTTGTTGGATGTTTGGTTGAGAATTTATTTGTGTTTAAGTGGAAACATCAACTATACAAAGTAAAATAAAAGTGTCTGTGAATGTTTTGGGTGTTTTTGATTCCTCTGGACAGATAAAGGAAACTAGAACTTTACTTTGGAAACCTTTTTTTTTTTTTTTTTTTTTTACTTTTGTGCCTATAAATATTGTTGACAATGTATTCGTTCCACCACTTTCCACGTTAGCTGTTGCTGTATCAGAGGACACGCCATCAGCAGTATTTATAGTTGCCATGTTGGTTTTGGTAGGAGCTCACTTGGGTTAGAAGCACATAAGAGAAGTTGTCTTATTCTGAAGGACTTGAATCAAATTTCCCTGCATGCTTTTTTACTGCGCTAAGATTTCATGTTTAGGATGAGCTGACCCCTAAATGTTCGCTCAGCTTCCTAAGATGCTCAGGCGCCGCCAAGATGGCGTCCGTCTTTAGTGCGAACCATGGATAGGACGTCTTGATGCAGCATGCTTTCCTCCCCGTTTGAGGTTTATTCAGTTTGCTTTGAAATGATTTAACGGGTAAAGAGTTTGGTTCCAGGGTTTGAGCGATGTTGCAGGAAAAAGAAAAGTTTGTGGTCTCTGTACTGATGTCCAAGTGAAACTAATAAAAACAGCTGAAAGGTCTGGTTGTTGGATCTGTTTTCTTTCTCTCTCTCTCTCTCTCTCTCTCTCTCACACACACACACACACACACACACACACACACACACACACACACACACACACACACACACACACACACACACACACACACACACACACACACACACACACACACACACACACACACACACACAGAGAACGTATGAAACCTTTTAAAAACCAGTGAAAACCTCATATCCTCGAGGATTTTCAGTTCAGCGGGTTTTAGTTCGAACCTGCTTCAACACACCTGAGTTCAGTCTGCAGGTAATTACAGGCTTGCGATAAGCTGCTGCACAGGTGTGTTGCAGCAGAGAAACAAAGCGTGCTGGACACTGGCTCTCCAGGCCCGGAATCGATGGTCCTGCTCTGGGAGCTCTCGGCAACGACCATCTCGACTCGTGTACCAGAACAACAGCCCATGGTGATCATGAAGAGCAGATCTCACCTGAACCTACAGACTAAAAACGTTGTTCCTGCACAAAGCAGCAGAGTGGTTAATCGTAAGTGAAGGCCTGATTCACATGACCCTTTGTAGAGAGCTCCTAACCTCCCCGACATGGCAAACATCCAGTACAGTCCTGGCTAAAGATGGTGACAGCTCTCTGGATAAAGAACCAGCTGCTAATGGAAGAGACCCAAAGCTGGACAGTCCTAAGCACAGAAGACCCCCAGGAAGGGGCAAACCCATCCAGCTACCAGCCAATCACCTACCTCTACAACACAGAAGGTCCAGCCGGCCACCAAGGGTCCTAGGATGGAGAGACGTGGAGGTTGGGGCAGCAGTAGCTCAACAGGTTGAGCGGGTTGTCCAGTAATCGGAAAGTTGCAGGTTCGATCCCGGCTCCGGACAGAGAATTCTGCTGTTGTGTCCTTGGGCAAGACACTTAACCCACCTTGCCTGCTGGTGGTGGTCGGAGGGACCGTTGGCGCCTGTGCTCGGCAGCCTCGCCTCTGTCAGTGCGCCCCAGGGCAGCTGTGGCTACATCGTAGCTCATCACCATCAGTGTGTGAATGGATGAATGATACACTGTAGTGTAAAGCGCTTTGGAGTCCTTACTCGGAGAGGCGCTATACAAGTGCGGATCATTTATCATGTCATCACATGAGCAGCTACAACTGCTGGCCATCAGACTTCCTTCTCACCGCGTACTTTAGGTCAGGACTGAGGTTACTATGGTGGTTCTGCCACGAATAGAGCAAGCTCCTCATTAGTGATTATCCTAAATAAATAATAGATCAGACAGTTTTTGTCAACACCCAACAGAAAGGTACAACCGATCTGGCAGAAGGCGGTTTGTGATTGACTAAAGCCGGTCGGACTTTAAACGCCTGGAGACAGGAAGACCCCTCACCTCAACGTGTCATAGATCCTCGTCCAACACCTTCTGTTACGACAGACTCGTTTTTGCCGATTTTATTAAAGATTTTCAAAAATCAACAACAAATCTGATTATCGGTGTTGGTTCTTCTCCCTGGTCTCGTTTCTTTTAGGTGCGTTTGCTCTGACCTTACAAACAACTTCCTGCAACAAAACATCAGCAGAACCTCAGAAACGGTTAAGGATTGTGTGAGTATTCATTTATTCAGCCATGGCCGTGACTTTGATACTCGCCGTGACACGAAAACCCTCCATCGTCTACAGCAGGCAGGAAAACAAACCACAAATGAAGCAGAATCCCTGAGCTACATTTTCCAGGTGAAGGAGCAATATTCCATGGCAGATGTTCAGATACTAAACTCCATTTGTTGCATAAACTTTGAACAATAACAGGAACGATGCTGCTGCGAGGCACGCCGTTCTCTAACTGCTGCAGAAAGCTTTTCTTTGTGGATAAAGTGGAAAATGACTCGATTACAAAGACATTGTTTTAAAAACCAGGATGCCCAAAAGTGCTGATACAAACAAAAATATTTTAGTCTTTAAATATTTACACATAATTATATTTGTGCAGCATTTATGTAAGAAATTGCAAAGATTCGTGTTCTGCCCTGAAACAGACCACCTGCGGGACTCGGCGGCGCCGCCCTGTAGCCCGTTTGACCCAAACTAGAACCCGAGCTGAGCCCTGGCTGCACGAAATAAGCACTTCTATTTACAACATGGTGTCATTAAAAGCTTTAACGGTTGGGCGTTCAACAACTAACCCTAACCACCAGCTGAGATTTCATTCTGGGCTGGAACCAGACACTGAGCCAGAATCTTCCAATCGTACATTCTGGATGCTGAAGTTATACCGACGAAGATCCAAACAGCTGCTGCTAGGATCCACAGCTCCTTAATACCAGCTTGTTTACAAATGTATCCCTGATGATGTAACCGAGCCAGGCTGCATTATGGGTCTGCACCACCGTCTCTTACAGAGTTTTGATTCGCTGGTCACCGCTGGTTCAGCCCTTACAAAATCAGTGGTACCAAACCATAAGCCCTGAGGGCCGCCTGCTGGAAGGTTCTGATGAACTTAACAAGTTCTGAAGTCGAAGAAGCTTGTGAGCAGTTCTGTGGAGTTGTGGTGTAATGTTTATGATACCAAACTGTTTTCGGTCCAGTTCTGCTGAATGTTTCCCCTCGTCACTCTGGGCAGTCACAATTTGCCGTGACAGATTACAGGTTCTGTAAGCGTGTCTGCAGAACGCACACTCTGTACACTTGCATGTCCTGCAAGTTAAACAAAATCCAAATTAACTTTTAAATAAAGCAGGTGTATTTGTCAAATCGGAGTTTAAATCAGTCTCTTACGGGGACTTTGGGGACAGGTGGTGAATAAAAGAGACATAATTAGGAAACGGCGTGACCCAGACTGGTAGAAAGCTAACGAGTCTCGGACTTTGTTCCATCTGAAGTTTGTCCATAAGCATTTTAATCAATGTTTGGATTTAATTTAATTTGGAGGAAATAATTATAAATGACAAGAAAAACTCAATGAAACCAAAATAAAGAGCTCTGAACACGTGTGGAGCCCTTTCTAAGTGCTGAGCTGCGCCGAACTGGCAACGCCTTCGGTGTGCCCGTGATCCTGGGGGTAAACGCAGTCCTCAAAGTGGACGTAGTGCAGGGCAGTCTGGTTGTAGTTCTGCAGGGCCTGCTCCTTCTCCTCAGCGCTATAGAGCAGAGAGTGTGGGTGCACCTGTTGGATGTGTCTCTTGATGGTGCTGACCTTCAGCGTGGCCAGAGTGGCTCCACACACCATGCAAATCAGCCCATGTCTCCTGCAGTCGTAATCCATAAGGTAGTCCGCCTGCCATCGCACCTGGTAGTTCCTCCTCTGGTCCTTCCCAGGATAGTGGCTGTGACGAGGGGGTGTGGCTACTGTCTTGCCTCCACTCACACCCTCATCCTTTATTGCTATTTTGATGGGAGTTTGGACATCAGGGGAGGCGTCCTGGTTTGCGTTCCCTGTCGTATGGAGGACAGCACCCTCTCCTGGGTTTTCTTCTGGAAAAACAGAGACGAACTGAGAGAAAATTGCTGACATCTGACTAAAGCAAGCTAGACTTGTATAATTTCTTCTGCAAAGAGCTGCAAACAAACACAGCAGGTCTGTAATCAGAAGCTTCTGTTGAAGGCTGAAAAGGCCATCCATGATCTGTTTTTAACACAACCTCAGAAACAATTCTAACTTCGGGAGGAAGGCAGTTTTCGCTTATTCGAGTTAAACATGTTAGAAACACGCAGCAGCAGCAAGGTGGGTAGAGTCAGAACCTGGAAAAACTCATTTGAGATGTGATTTTAAAAGTTTAATCAGGAAACCCTCCCACTGGTTTACATGGAGGGGTGGGGCTTAGGTTCTAGAGATCCAGGAGCTGCCCCAGAGCACAGGGACCCCAGGGAGACTGCAACCAGAAAAGCCCCCGCCCCCCTCGAGAGGCGCAGAGGATCGCCCCGGGGGTCACAACCAGCAGCCGGCAGAGCCCTGGGAGATATCAGCGGCAAGCCCACAGGCCCGCCCGCAGCCTCCCACCCCCTAGCCGGCCGAGCCCGGGACCCAGCGACCCGGGACCCAGGGGCAACCAGCCCCACCGGAGACCCAACAGAGCGCAGGGACTCAGATCCCACCAGGCAGCCACTGGGATTAATCAGGCAGATGCCAAAAATCTTAAACCCATGTACTATAGGCTAGCTGCTAAATGATGACTTTACCCTGTGAAGGTTCTGATTGTTGAAGCAGACATCGCAGTACCTGGTTAGTCATTCAGGAATTAATAGAAATAACAGCTATTATGGGGGGGTGGGGGTCAGCAGGGTGGTGTACACCAACCAGACTCAGAGTTAGGACTGGACTGTCTAAAGGTAAGACCGCTTTAAAACAGGAAACACCCAAGTATCTAATGTTCGTACGCAGGATCCAACAATGAATAAAGACCTCTCACCGTCTTGAATCCGATTGCCGTCAGAAGGGTAGTCTTTGGTCCAGGCAGCAGCCATTGCTTCCCGTTCCTGTTGGCTCAGAGTCGTGGTCTCAGGATGAAACTCCTGGATGTGGCGGCGGAAACTGCTGACCTTGGTTTCATGCAGGACCTGAGAGCACACCATGCAGAATGTGCCCTGATTCTGAGGTCCGTAGGCAACCAGGTAGTCAAGGCGGAGCCGCCATGGGTCTCCCCCACGCAGCCGCCTCCTCTTGGGCTGGCGAAGAGGCTGGGCTGGCTGCTTAGGAGCACCGAAAACTCCATCCTCACCGATAAAAAAAATGTCCTGAGTTAAAGGAACATCACCAACGGGGGACACCTCAGCTTTCACCTGGATGGTCTTCATGTCTTCACCACGTACTTCTGTCCTCTTATCTTTGGTGTTGGCCTCTGACGTGATTGGGTTTTCTGACGGGTCTGGAAGAGAAAACAAACACTAAACAGTCAGATTTCAAAAATAATTCCTGGTGGTTCCAAATCATCATCATCTCCATCATCACTCTCAATCTCATTCTCATCATCATCACTACCATTATCATCATCATCATCATCACTGCCGTTATCATCATCATTACCATCATCACTACCATCATCATCATCATCATCATCATCACTGCCGTTATCATCACCATAACCATCATCAACATCATTACCATCATCATCATCACCATCCCCATCACCATCATTACCATCATCACAACCGTTATCGTTATCATCATCATTACCATCATCACTACCATCATCATCATCACCATCCCCATCATTACATCATCACTACCATTATCATCAACATCATTACCATAATCAAAACTGTTATCATCATCATCATCACGGCCGTTATCATCACCATCATCATCATCACCATAACCATCATCAACATCATTACCATCATCATCATCACCATCCCCATCACCATCATTACCATCATCACAACCGTTATCGTTATCATCATCATTACCATCATCACTACCATCATCATCATCACCATCCCCATCATTACATCATCACTACCATTATCATCAACATCATTACCATAATCAAAACTGTTATCATCATCATCATCACTGCCGTTATCATCACCATCATCATCATCACCATAACCATCATCAACATCATTACCATCATCATCATCACCATCCCCATCACCATCATTACCATCATCACAACCGTTATCGTTATCATCATCATTACCATCATCACTACCATCATCATCATCACCATCCCCATCATTACATCATCACTACCATTATCATCAACATCATTACCATAATCAAAACTGTTATCATCATCATCATCACGGCCGTTATCGTCGTCATCATCATCATTACCATCATCACTACCGTCATCATCAACATCATTACCATCATCATCATCATCATCACCATCCCCATCACCATCATCACAACCGTTATCATCATCATCATCATCATCATCACTGCCGTTATCGTCAACATCATCATTACCATCATCACTACCGTTATCATCATCATCATCATCATCATCACTGCCGTTATCGTCAACATCATCATTACCATCATCACTACCGTTATCATCATCATCATCATCATCACCACTGCCGTTATCGTCAACATCATCATTACCATCATCACTACCGTTATCATCATCATCATCACCACTGCCGTTATCGTCATCATCATCATCATCATCATCACCACTGCCGTTATCGTCATCATCATCATTACCATCATCACAACTGTTATCATCACCATCATCACTACCACCACCACCATCACCATCATCATTATCATTATTACCATTATCATGACCATAGCCATGGTCACAACTTCACTTACTATTATCACTATCATTACATCTTCCTCCACATCATCATCATCGTCATGTCTGACTTGTCAGCTGCAAATGTCAATGAATGAATGTCACCATCATCTCTATTGTCTCTAACATTAGAACCAATATTATAACCACCATGAAGCAGAGGTGGGGAATTGTAGCATCAACAAGTCATCTCCACGTCGTGTATTTGTTCTGCTCAGCTACTGAACAAGGGTCATTCACTGTGCTGATTGAAAGCACCTGGTTTAGTTGCTGAGCGGAAGAACAACCTGGCATGGAGATGACTTGTTGATGCTACAATTCCCCATCTCTGCCAGGAAGTCTGTTTTTGGAAGTTACCCATACATTATTATTGTTGTTGTTTTTGTTATTTAAATAGGATCCGAGTGTGTGTGTGTGTGTGTGCGCGCGCACGCGTGATGACTCACTGTGGGACTGAGCCCAGGCCTGCAGGATGCAGTGCTTCTCCTCTGAGCTGTACACCAGGGAGTTGGGGTGGGTGTCCAGCATGTGGCTTTTGATGTGGTCCAAGTGAAGCGAGGGCAGTTCTGTTCCACACACCATACAAAGCAGCCGGCCTGCTTCGGCTTCATACTCCATCAGGAACTCCTGGCGGAACCAGGCGTGCAGCGAGTCGTTAAGGTAGCGCTCCAAAGTCTGTGCTGATGGTCCAGGAAGTTCCTGCTTTTCCTCTCTGGACTTTAAGCCTTCACCATCCACAGGAGGAGACAAAGTGGGGGATTGTTGGGGCTGCTCTAGTGGAGCTACAGGATCTGGAGATTCTGTATAACCATAAACAAGACATAGTGGTAAACCCATTACGTGAATTTTTTTTTATCAAACAACTCTCTTACTCATAGCTGTTAGGAGCTGCAGTGGACGCAACACATTCTGATTTTAGGCTTCACCACCTCTCAGCAAACAAAACGGGCTCCAAACCATTACGGTTCACACTCCGAGCTAAAAGGTGATCGTAGTAGCGCGGACTCCCGTGACGTCTCACAGACGCAGATCTAAATCAAATGCACTTAGTGAAGAAAAGATGTTAAGTGTTTTGGTCTTTTTGCCAAGATGTTCGGAGCGTATTTATTAGCTAGACCAACACTGGTTTGTAAAAGCCAGCTTTACAGTTGATGTCATGCGCGACAGCTCGACGTGAAACAACCTGAACCAGAGTAAAGATAAAGGTGAAATATTGGACGATATCTGAAGTTCTGCAAACAATATTTGCAATATTCCAGTTACTAAATAAACCTTTTTATCTTGGAGCGTTGCTGCTGGCTGCTGTCGAACAGAAACATAGCAGGCACCACAGTCAGGGGCAAATGGGGGGTTTCTAATGTATAAACTGGATATGAGGCTGAAAATAGAAGCTAATCCTTTGAAGTTGTTCCACAATTATTTGAAAACACTATTGATGACGAAAACTCTTGACTTTGCAAGTAAAGGCGAACACCACTGAGAGTAAAGTCATTCATTTACAAATACAACGCCTGGATATTCTCTCAGGGGTGAGTGGTGAATTTGGTTTACATTCAATGACCATCAGAACTCTCAAACACGAGACTGCTGCACAAACAAGAATGAAGAAAACAACACAAACTATCGAATGGTTCAGTGTTTACAGTGACTGCAGAGATAGAGAACAGGTATTTGACACATCAGCAGTTTATCACTAAGGGTTTTTCTAAATCTGCTAGACACTAAATATGCACCAGATTTTGCCATCAAGTCAAATATTGAATTCATACCAGTTGAGTCCTAATACATAAAGTGAAATGAGAGATTATTTAATATAGGGCTGCACGATATTAGGAAAACCTGCGATATTCGATTACAGTGATTAATATTGCGATGACGATATTACTTGCGATAACTAAAAACTTAACTCAGGAACTAAAACAATCAAAAACAAAGAAATAAAAAAAGTAATAAAAAGTAGAAAAGCAAAAGATGTGAAAAGGAAAGGGAAACAGAAAATAAACAAGAAAAGGCAATGAGTGGATTCCGGGAAAAGCAGAATCAGCAGAAAGTTCTCTTCCGGCACTCGCAGAGTACAGACGCTTATGCTTTTGCTCCCTTATCTTTTTTTCCCAAGGCTCTTTGTCCTGTCTGCCCAGAGCGCTTCTCTGTATTTCTCCTGAAAATCCCTATTTTTTAAGAAATGGATTTAATTAATTGGTCATTCAATGTGATTGATAAGATTTTTTCAATGATGAGAACGGAGCAGGGGGCTCCCACTTGCCCGCAAGGGACACACCCGGTGGGGTATATGCTCGATTCCTGGAAAGAATGGAGGATCGTATGCCTCTCCCAGCTGTCCATTGAGGACGTCGAAGATGTGTGGATGTTTGGTCTGATGATCACTGGATTTCTTCTGATTGGAGCGGGAGGATATCTGGGTTTCTGGAAATTTGGGAAGACAGGAGCGATTGGAGGGCGACCCGCACCCACAGGAAGCACCGTCCGTGTGGAGACCTCACAGACTGGGACGTTACTCGAGGCGAATCGTAAGCTGGACAATGTTCTAGCTGCGTTACCGGTATTAGTGCGCAAAATGGATGTCATCTCGGAGAGAGTCACCGGACGGTGTGGAGATGTTTAAAACCTGAATTGGCTTCACTGGAGGACTGGAATGATCAGTTACAGACTTGAAGGCAGAGAGGAAAATTATCTCTGCCTGACCCAAACCCAAACAAAGTCTTTTTATCCAAATCTGACGCCATGGCTGCCTTGTTAGCTGTAAACTGTAATTCTGTGTGTATTTGAATTTGTATTTGCATGTTGTTTTCATATCATGTCCTGATAATTGTAAAGCACATTGAATTGCCTCTGTGTTTGAAATATGCTCTAGACACAAAGCTGACTTGCCTCCCAGTGGCCCCCACACACACTTATAGAAATAAAATAATCTTGATTATTGGGTCTTTGTTAATTTAAGACCTTTGGAAACTGTATTTAAGGATTATTGGTAATTTTTAAGGATATTTAAAGCCTTAAATTTGGAAAAGCAAATTTAAGCCTTTTTAAGGACCCGCGGATACCCTGTGTCCACATGCTGCCTCCTCAGCACTGTCTTAGCCACAACTACCACCCATTCATTGTCCTCCACTCCCACATGAGCCAGAACCCAAACAAAACACACCGGAGCATCCAACAATCTGACACAAGCCAGCAGGTCAGGCCGAGGCCCAGAGCGCTTCACTATCAGTGCTTCCATTGTAGCCACAGAGTCAAAAGAAAGGACAGAACCAGGATGTATGTTCTTCCACCCCCTGCAGAGCGCATAAGACCACCACCAACTCAGCTGTGAGCACTGAACAACAAAGCGACCACTACGAAAATCCAGGCGAGGGATCACCAATCCCAGCGCCACCTTGCTGCTCACCGGATCCTTGGAACAAATAAGACCCCCGAACTGTCTCCCTAAAATCCCCCACATCTCCAGCCCTCCTGTCACCCTGACCAAAACAGAAAAGTCCACCAGAGGTTCAGGCAAAAGCCAAGGCAGGACCTCGGTCCAGACCAGGCGAGAACACACTCAAGAAAGCCCAACTTCTCAACCCCCCCCCCCCCCCCCCCCCCCAGTCAATCAGGAAAACTGCCCTTTGGCTTGTCCCCACAAATTTCCAATGGTGGCCTAACAGGGCCAACGCAGGGGTAGACAAACCCAAGCCCCTGTCCCTCATCAGATAACGTGAGATCTGATCACACCCCTGTACACCATCAACCAGGTGTTCTTATCCGCCCCCGGTCAGATCCTGTGAGCCTTCTGGGTCATAAGAAGCATTTATAGGCCATCAATTAGGACTAAAGCAGCTGATATCATTTAGTATAGATAGGGGGCGGGGTTCCTCTCTCAGTAGTGACGGATTTCAGGAGATCTCCTGGCTTTCTTTGCACCTTATAATCTTCATGAGTTTCACTTTATTACACATAACTCAATTTATGGACTTAACTGTTTAAATGTCTTTGCATTACTTAAATATCTGAGTTGATACTGACGTGTGGTGGGAATTATGTGTCAATAGCGCTGTCACTGTGGGAAAATTTAACCTCACGGTTATTGTGACCAAAATGATTACGGTTTCCGGTATTATCGCGTTGTCTTTTTTTAACGTGTTACATTTTCAGACAACTACATAAACCCTGTATATCAGGAAAATATTGTCCTCGGTTTGTGTCTACATTTAGCCTAAAATTAGTTATTTTATAATGATGTTGTTTATGTGTTTACATGTTTCCCCTTTAGTGTTTAAAATACCAATATTTGCCCATAACTTCTTTTTTGTCTGTTTGATGTCATCATTTAAAAATATTAGATCAGATGATACTCAGTACTCAAGTAGTCTTCTAATCAGATACTTTTTTACCCTTACTTGAGTAATAAACCCTATATCAGGAAAATATTGTCCTTGGTTTGTGTCCTTCCAGTGAGCTTTGCAGATGTGGGAAAATGTCATCAGGCAGTAATCATTGTTAAATTCATAATTATTCTCGGAGAGAGACCAACTCTTATCTGCCCCTGGGAGCCCCGTAATGCATAGCGTCATTTCAACATGGCGGTGTCCGCGACACGGTTTATATGCAGGTAGCGGCGCTGCGGCTGCTTTATATAGCGACTCGTTGCGTTCTCCCTCAACCCAAATCCTCGGATCACGCATTTTAGCTAAAACGCTAACGTTAGCTTGCCTTGCGTTGACTGTAGAGTTGTGGGTGATGGTCACGCAGATGTGTCATGAGATTTGAAGCGTTGCTGCCTTTCACAGACACTTTTTCTGCACGTGCTGCAAACAGGATAGCCGTCTTCTATCAGCTGTCCCTCGGCATTCTTCAAATATCCAAAAAATGCCCGTACTTCCCACTTTGTCTTCTTTGAGGGATAATAAATGTCCTGAGCGCTGCCGTCTCCTCCTTTGGCCATTATTTCAGCTTTAGCTTCAAGAAAGTTTTGGTTGTAAACAACAAAGTGCGCATGTGCCGCCGGCAACTTCAGCAGATGATACGGTGGCTGGTGAGGGTCACCGCGCCTACACCGCAGCCACAGTAACCCACCGAGATAATATAGTTTTTAAAAAACAAGACGTTTATTATTATTATCAACTTATTTACCGGGGTTTACCGCTACACCGGTTACCGTGACGACCACTTACTGATAAAAATGTTGATTCTCCCCGCTGTATCCTCAGGTGCAATTACCAACATCATTATGAATCATTTATATATAATCCTTAATAGTGAAATGAGCATTAGTCATAAACACACAAAACAAGCTGCCTTCATGGTCGTGTTGGTTATCTTAACTGAATCATGACGTCATCTGTGCCACTTGTGCGAGACTCACAAAACACAAAGTCCTTCCGGTCTCAGAGCACTACGCACCTGCAGTCTGCTGGCCCAAGTGCGCTGGATCATCATCTGTGTGGGGTGATGGCCCAGAACCAGAGCTGTATGACCTCTGACCTCCCTCGTGGTTCAGGTGACTCTCCCATCCCGAGCGAATCACCTCCTTGTCCGCAGCGCTCCACAGCAGAGAGTAAGGGTGCTTCTGCCTGATGTGTCTCTTGATGGTGCTGAGCTTCAGGGTGGCCAGTGAGCTACCACACACCATGCAGATCATGCCATGCCGCTGGGGGTCAAAATCCATCAGGTACTCACTGCGCCAGTACCTGTGGTAGTAGCGCCGATGGTCGCGGCCAGGAATGCGGCTCAGACTTGGACGTGAAGCCCTCTGGGCCTCAGGTTTGTTTTCTGCGGGTCTGGTCACTAGGGAGAGGAGGGGCGGGTGGTCGGACCCCTCTGTAATGCTCCAGTAGCTGGTGCCAGGTGACGTGACAG